ACACTAAACTTCCCACTACAGTGAAACAATAAGCATACAAATACAAAGAGAAGACCTAGTCTGTGAAAAAAGCCAAAACTAACTTAAAAAAAAAAATTATTGCACTAACTTGTTTGTCCTGAGGTGATCTGAAAAATACATTCTTGTTTGCCTTCCCCATCCCACTAATCCTCTTATTAGCAGACATTCTCTCAACAGCGACTCCAGTAAGTTTCCTTTCTGAAATCAATGTCAGTAGCATTCAGTGTATTTTACCAGCAAGGCTACACAAAATGGTGCATCTTTTTATCCCACCTGGGAAAAAAATCTTTAGAAAATGCACGGTAAACACATGTTTAAAGAAGACTGAAGACAAGACATTCACCTGTTTATATACGCTACATAAGAAGTCTTTTAACATTTTCAAATTCATGATAGCATTGGGCATTTCCAATCACTTAAATTTTCAGCTTTCCCAAGTACTATTTATTTTCTTGTACAAATTCTAATCTGGTCTAGAAATTCATTTTCTCTGAGTCCCTAACCACATGCCATCAATACAGTTAAAAAAAAAAAAAAAAAAAATCACCACTAAAGTAAAAGTAACTTCTGATCTATTCTTGGTAGTTTAGCATGGGCATTTTTTTTAATCAATACATGTGCACAGCTTTTAATTCTATGTCTCAAAAAAGAAAAAAACATTAAAAAAAAAGTATAGCAGTTGATTTTACACAATGCTCTTCACTGCCCAGCTGTCCCTAAGAACCCAAGAGAAACATTTACTCTATTATATTTAAAAAGGCCATTATATATCTGTAGGTAATACTTCACACACTTAAGACTTCTAAAGTATAAAATAAAGAGACTTCAGGGCCCTGGGACAGCTAGTTAGGGGGTCTGGAGCACAAGTAGTGTTTGCCTCCATCCCTCCTGCAAGAATGGGTAGGGAGGTATACAGGAAGAGTTTGCAGGTTAACGAATGGTTAAGAGATTGGTGTCATAGACAGGGTTTTGGTTTTTTTGATCATGGGATGCTATATGAGGCACCTGGACTGATGGTAGCAGGTGGGATGCACCTGTCCCAGAGGGGGAAGAGGCTTTTGGGGCAGGACTTGGCAGGGCTCATTGATAGAGCTTTAAACTAGATGTGATGGGGGAAGGGGAGAAGACCGGGTCTGTTAGGGACAAGCACAAGAGGAACACACCATGGCCCAAAGTCAGGTCGTCCAAGGAGGATTTAGTCCCACCGGTGTGCTCTGTTCGTTTCCTGAAATGCCTGTATGCTAATGCACGCAGCATGGGGAACAAGCAGGAGGAATTAGAGGTCTGTGTGCGGGCTAAGGGTTATGATCTAGTAGCAATAACAGAGACATGGTGGGACAGCTCACATGACTGGAATGTGGCCATGGATGGATATATGCTTTTTAGGAAAGATAGGGCAGGGAAGCGAGGTGGTGGAGTTGCTCTTTATGTGAGAGAGCAACTAGAATGTATTGAGTTTCGTGCAGGGGCTGATGAGGGGCAAGTTGAAAGTCTGTGGGTAAGAATTAAGGGGCAAGCAGGTGCGGGTGACACAGTTGTGGGGGTCTACTACAGACCTCCTGATCAAGGTGAGGAGGTTGATGAGGCTTTCTACAGGCAACTGAAAGCAGCCTCACAACTACAGTCCCTGGTCCTCATGGGAGATTTCAACTACCCTGATATCTGCTGGAAGACTCACACAGCCAGCCTTTCACAGTCTAGGAGGTTCCTCCAGTGCATTGATGATAACTTCTTAATGCAAATGGTGGACAAGCCGACTAGAAGAGGAGCGCTGCTGGATCTTGTACTAACCAGCAAGGAGGGCCTTGTTGAAGCAGTGGTGGTCAATGGCAGCCTTGGCTGCAGTGATCATGAGATGGTGGAGTTCAGGATCCTGTGTGGAAGGAACAAAATACCCAGCAGGACCAGAACCCTGGACTTCCACAGGGCAAACTTTGGTCTCCTCAATCATCTATTAAGGGAAATCCCATGGGACAGGGTGCTAGAAGATAAAGGAGCTCAAGATAGCTGGTCAACATTCAAGGACCACTTCTTGCAAGCACAGGATCAGAGCGTCCCAATGGTTAGGAAATCTAGTAAGGGTGCTAGGAGACCTGCATGGTTAAAGAAGGAACTACTGGGCAAACTTAAGTGGAAAAGGAAAATCTACAGATCATGGAAGGAGGGGCTGGTCACGTGGGAGGAATATAGGACTGTTGTCAGAGGATGTAGGGAGGCAATTAGGAAAGCTAAGGCCTCCTTGGAACTTAACCTTGCAAGTCAGGTTAAGGATAATAGAAAGGGCTTTTTCAAATACATAGCTAGCAAAACTAGCAATAGAGGCAATATTGGCCCATTGAGGAATGAGGTGGGAGCCCTGGTGACAGAGGATATAAAGAAGGCAGAGGTGCTGAATGCCTTCTTTGCCTCTGTCTTCACTCCTGCAGGGTCTCCCTATGAGCCCCAGATTCATATAGCCCCAGAAGAAGTCAAGATAGAGGAAGAGTTTGACATGGTAGATGAGGATTGGGTTAGGGATCAGTTGAGTAATCTGGACATCCATAAATCAATGGGTCCAGATGGAATGCACCCAAGGGTGCTGAGGGAGCTGGCGGAGGTCATTGCTAGGCCACTCTCCATCATCTTCAGTAAGTCATGGGCAACAGGTGAGGTGCCTGAGGACTGGAGGATAGCAAATGTCACTCCAGTCTACAAGAAGGGCAAGAAGGAGGACCCGGGTAACTATAGACCGGTCAGCCTCACCTCCATCCCTGGAAAGGTGATGGAACAACTTGTTCTTGGCACTATCTCCAGGCACATCAAGGACATGGGGGTCATCAAGAGCAGTCAACATGGTTTTATCAAGGGTAAATCATGTTTGACTAACCTCATAGCCTTCTATGAGGAAATTACTAGGTGGATAGATGATGGTAGAGCGGTAGATGTGGTTTATCTTGATTTCAGTAAAGCATTTGACACCGTCTCCCACAGCATCCTTGTAGAAAAGTTGATCAGGTATGGGTTTGGTGATCAGGAAGTGAGGTGGATTAGGAACTGGTTGAAAGGAAGGAGTCAGAGAGTTGTAGTCAATGGGGCAGAATCTGGTTGGAGGTGTGTGACTAGTGGAGTCCCACAGGGGTCGGTACTGGGACCGGTGTTGTTCAACATCTTCATCAACGACCTGGATGAGGGTATAGAATGTACCCTCAGCAAGTTTGCTGATGACACTAAGCTGGGAGGAGTGGCTGACACACCAGAAGGCATTTGGGGAAGAACAACCCCATGTCCCAGTACAGGTTGGGGTCTGAACTGCTGGAGAGTAGTGTAGGTGAAAGAGACCTGGGGGTCCTGGTAGACAGGAGGATGACCATGAGCCAGCAATGTGCCCTTGTGGCCAAGAAGGCCAATGGCATCCTGGGGTGCATTAGAAAGGGTGTGGTTAGTAGGTCAAGAGAGGTTCTCCTCCCCCTCTATTCTGCATTGGTGAGGCCACATCTGGAGTATTGTGTCCAGTTCTGGGCCCCTCAGTTCAAAAAGGACAGGGAACTGCTCGAAAGAGTCCAGCGCAGAGCTACGAAGATGATTAAGGGAGTGGAACAACTCCCTTATGAGGAAAGGCTGAGGGAGCTGGGTCTCTTTAGCTTGGAGAAAAGGAGACTGAGGGGTGACCTCATCAATGTTTACACATATGTAAGGGGTGAGTGTCAGGGGAACGGAGTTAGGCTTTTCTCGGTGATGACCAGTGATAGGACAAGGGGTAATGGGTGTAAATTGGAGCATAGGAGGTTCAAGGTGAATATCCGAAAAAAAATTTTTACTGTAAGAGTGACAGAGCACTGGAACAGACTGCCCAGGGAGGTTGTGGAGTCTCCCCCTCACTGGAGACATTCAAAACCCACCTGGATGAGTTCCTGTGTGATGTACTCTAGGTGACCCTGCTCTGGCAGGGGGGTTGGACTAGATGATCTCTCGAGGTCCCTTCCAGCCCCTAAGATTCTATGATTCAATATTTTTCTATGAAACATTGCCAAAGGTGACAGCTTTCTTACTAAAAACTTACTCTTTGTAAGGAAAAGTCCTCTATAGCAAGCCACAGCCTAACTTTCTGAGTTCTTTAGCTTCCATTGCCTTCTAGTGTCAGCAACATTAACCTTTTTTTCAGTCATCATACAAAGGAGGCAACACTCACCTTTGGTCTCCGTAACAAGCTGGATAAAGCTGTCTGTCTATATTATAATTTCCTCTCTTTCTACTTAACAGCTGGGTTTTTGTTTTGTTTTGTTTTTAAAGAATACCCTGGGTACAGACAGGCGACATATAATCCTGCAGTAGAAAAAGTGGCAGATATTTTTACAATGGAAGCACAAAGGTCAGTTCTACATATTGTCTCACTGAATAAGGAACTATCAAAGAACTTCAGGCATACACAATTCTAAAAACAGAAGCTTTCCATAAGGAAAGTCCTTCCTGTGTGATGAAACACACAACTTATCAAAACAGGATGCAGAAGAGAGCACACATGCATCCTTACTTCAATTGTTATGGCATAAGCCCTTCCTAGTTGAATTACTCTTTGGAGTGAAGTTGTACTTGTTCTTTTACAGCAAGTATGCTCTGTCATAACTCTATAAAGCATGCAGGGACAACAGGGCACAAAAGCAAATACAACTCAGAAAACAGTGCATATTAGCAGAAAACACTGCTAAGCCTGTTACATAGGGATTATGCTCTACTTGAAACAGATTACAGTCAAGAGTGGCCAGACAAGCTCCAACATATAAATTAATACAATATTCTATGCACCTGATGGCTGGATTATTCCAAATCTAGAGAACAAGGATGAAGATATCTGATCTCCCATCTTATTTGATACTACACTTCTTGAGTGGATAAGAGCAATTCTTGAGTTCTGAGATTGAGAACAAACAAGCAAGCAAGCCCTCCTCTTCCCTCTGCTCCACCCTGCACAAAGAAAGACACAGAAAGGAAACATTCATTTGATAATGTCAGGTTTTATTTACATGAGAGAAGGTTTACACAAGTTGAAAAGTTGTTTCAACGGGAACCCAACAATTACTGCTTGTCTGTCTTCAGAAAGGGATGACTTTAAGATTTGATGATGCCATTTCAGAACACTGACGATCACTTGGGAAAAAAGTGCCAGGAATCCACTAAAATGAAAAAAATACACATCAAGAGTCACATTATTTCTACATAACTAGTCATACAAAAACACTTGAAAAAGCACCATTCTGCCCTTTCAGCTATCTCCCCTCCCATAACAATAGTTCTGGGTGAGTTCTATCCCCAGCTTATGTAAATCACAGACTCAAAATATCTGTTCACTGTAACAGTCTGGCTGAAGCAACCCTGCAACAAGTTATAACACTGATGTGACCATCCCTGGAAAGCATCGAAGATCAGGCAGATTATGTCAGTTGTCTGTCAGAGGTCTGAGATACACTATTCCAGCAAATAAATGCTATTTATTGGCATACCATAAAAGGGCAAATGGAACGCAACTTGCTCTCCTATGACACAGACTACACAGATGTTACTTTGCAAACAATCTGGGACTTGACTTATGACTAAGTTTCTCTTAGCATTTCTGTAACTCCCTCCATCTCAAAGAACACGTATGTCTTCTCTATAGTTCCTGCCAGTACAAAAATCTCTTTTTTCTACGTATTTAACTAAAATTAAAATGCAGGATACATTCTTATTTCTTGAAGAAAAACACATGTTCTGTTAACATGAAAAACTGTTATAACAGTAAAAAGAGAGAATTTTGTCCTTAGAACTTACAGCTGAAAAGTAAGTATGGTGATGTCAATTTTAGGAAAAGGAGTTGCTTATTTGATTAGTTAGCTACTGTGAAGAATGACAAAAACTAAGACAAAGCAACTTTTCTCCTTTTAAAAAGGATAAACGCAATGCATTTGCCAATGACCAGTGACAGAAAAAATTAGTCTTCTCATCTTTTTATGTGGACAATACTTTTCACTCGTACTCAAAAGTAACCTTCCACAAATCAGCCATAACTTTCTGCTCATGTTCTAATTAACAGAGGACAGGCATTACAGTCTGACAGGATATAAAGTATTACCATTCTCATGTGCACAAAACCATCTTTTCTCAGCAAGACATTTTTAAAGCAAACTATTAGAGAAATCATGTAGCATTGTGGGCAAAACATACCTCCTGGGGAAACAGAATCTCCATTTACACACAATGGTGCCTAAAAAAAAAAAAAGAAAAAAACCAAACCAATTTGAAGTTTCACAGTTATCACCCAAACAAAGTTATTTTACTGATGAAGTCAAGAGATATTAATAAAAACATAACTTTCTCTTGCCCCCATGTGATGATATTCTACCTTACAGATTTTCCCTTTCCCCACCCCCTCAACTACTGTGCACATTTGTCTGTTGCTCATAAATGACAAAACACACTAATAATGAATGGTAGATTAACACCTCACCTAGTGTGAAGGGGATTTTCCTACTATCTTTAAGGATAATAGATAGGATTTGCTGTTTAGATACTAAAGAGTAAAAATGTCTTCCCAATTACATTACTATACAAATTTCAGTATAAGGTATACATGTGAATATATATATACACACACACAGCTTACATTACTAATATATTTTTTGAAAAAAATTGAGTAAGTGTAATTATACTCTCTTACAATTACATTTTGGCAGAGTAGGATTCAGTTCTGTGCAAAGAGACAAATAGTTTTAAAATGAAGGTCTGACATTTCAAAGCTGGATATACCACTATTTAATTGCAGTATTACCTAGCATGTTGTGTCCCCTAACTTAAAGAACAAAATTAAAGCCAGTTTTAACACCAGCTGGAAGCAACCTGCCTCACAATAAGGATGCTAGTTACTTGTGTAGTAACAATCCTCCACTGCCCTTTCAGCATGTTTTCCAACTGACACAACTGACAGCAAAGCACAAGGTATCCTGCAACACTCACTCGCATGCACAGATAAGAAACTGGGTGGATGGACATTGGCCTTTGCTGTGACAGAAGCCCACCCCAGCTACACTTATCTGAGCAGATAACTCAGGAGTAATCACACAGGTGAACCATGCAAAAAAAAAGAAACAGCCTCAAAAGCAGGGTTTACAGCTGTTTGAAGCTTCAGGAGAACAAAGCTGCACAGTGAACACGTGTCTTCCACACCAACAGGTGGAACTTCCTACCACTACTTAAAGGGGTATGAAGACAATAATGAAAACTTCACAGTATCCTGCAGGCAAGCAGGTTGACCCATAAGCCACACAGCTGGGCTTAGCACAGTGCAGCACTCAGACTGAGCTCCACTGCTGTAAAATTCCCTTGAGAGACTGCCTGCATCTGAACGGGGCACAGGGCTTGATCTGCTGAAGAGTGGGTTGAAGCCTCTGAGGAAGGAGGAAAAAAAATAAGTTCTTTTTTCCACATTACCCAGGGATAATTACCTGCACAGGAGGGCTATGTGATTGGCCTGAAAAGATGTGCCAGTATGACAAATGTAACACAGGTCTTCCAGGCCTTATCACCAGACCATCCCCTCTCTTTCCAGCAAAATCAAAGCTTTATCTCATAAGGCAAGGATAACCAGTGGCCATCATATCTAAACAGGTGCCTGCCACTTCCGGGATAATGGCTCAAAAAGTCTGAATAAGGACTCAACACCTTTTCATCAGGAACAGATCATCCCAATTAACCAACAATCTCTTCACTACATAATACTTTTCACCTGAAACATTGTTTAAAAAACAAATTCACTAATAATTTAAAAAACAAACAAACACCAAACTAAAAACCCCACCAAACTTTTGTTTCACAACTGGCCACTGAATGGAAAAATCTGACTCTACTAAGTCCCAAATGGAAACATCCTCACAGAAAACATGTAGGAAGAAAGGCAGTTAACCAACATTCCAGCTTAGGTCTGAATTTATTCAAAACACATTAGTAAATATACAGATTCTAATTTTGTTGGACTTTTTTTAAATTATCAGGAAAAGCTAAGTATTTTCCCCTGTAAAACATTATTCTGCATTTTATCAAAAGCTACCTCACCTAGTAAAGCTTCCCTAGCTCACTTTCCAGTATTGTAAGGGAAGAATTATGTGCTAAGTCTGAGAAACACTGCTCTAAATATACATATAGAATGTGCTGGATATTTTCCAACTTACAAAGTCCTCAGCAGCTTCTTCATAAAGCAAGTAAGCAAGCAGTTCTCAGGATTAATGTTAAACAAAGATCTGGCTGTCCTGCTCAGTTTTATGGATGGCAACACTTAAAAGTCTGAAATAAGCAGTCCATCTTAGCAGCAACACAATCAGCTACAAATCTCCATTCCTCCTAGGTTTAGTTTCTAACCTGTACTAATGCTGGAGCTCAGAAAGAGATAAAACAATTTGCAGAGAGTAGCACACACGAAAAATTTTCACCACCTAGTGTTAAAACTCAACTAGGTTTGCAGTTGCAGAGAGCTGGTGTTAATTTTGGCTGGTTCAAATGTTCAGTATGTGTTCCCATACACACAGATTATTTTCTGCCTCTTTGGGATTGACCAGACATGGCAACTTCACCAGCTGTAGAATCATTTTACTTTGCCACCAATACAGACAACAGTACACATGCCCACCAGCTAGAAATTAACTCAGTGGAGTGGAAATTCCTCAATGTAGACAAGCCATTCCAGTCCCACATCTGTGAAATAACAAAAGCTCAAATAATAGCACCATAAATCCTACTGAAATCAACAGAACTATCTCAGGAACTACCCAACCAAAATATATATGAAATTCTGATTAGTGCACAATTTGGTAAGCATTTGACAAGGATTTCTTTGTTTTCCTTCTGGTTCTACTCATTCTATCACTTATCATAAAAACTTTTGCATAACAATACTGTTGCCTTTTGGGGTTTTTATTTGTTTCTGTTTTTTTTTTGTTGTAGTAGCTGAGAACTCAATATACCTGATTGAAGGTAATTATCATCCACTCAGAAATTCTGCAGTTGGAGTCTGACCCAGGAAACAGAACTGTAGGGAACTAGTTTTCACTGCATAAGTAGCTCAGAAATTTTGCAGTGACATACACTTCTCACTGCACTTGTATACAAAATTTCTACCTGTGCTTTCATTCTGCTGTTTTCATCCAGAAGTTAACAGACAGACAAACTAGAAGAAAATGTGTCTGCTTTTAGTTTAAAAAACAAAAGTACACACACACAAAAACCCAGACAAAGGCAGCTTTCATTTAAAACTACCACAGCCATTAAAATTCTGCAGCCAACACTCACGTACTTTCACTTCACTATGAAAGAAACTAATGCGTGACAACCAAAGTGGGCAGTACTAGACAAAAGACACTTGCTTACAATGTGCAAGTCAACCTCCCTGCTTACATTTAGAATTTGAGTGTTCACTATTCATATTTCAAGAGCATTTTACTTATTTTTAAGTTATCGTAGACTGGAAACTGCATGCAGTATAAACAGCATTTAAGAGAGTATTGTATCTTTTCCCCGCCTAAAAAGTACCAAGGGACAGTAGCCTACAAAGACACAATTAAAACACTTCATCTAAACTGAAACAGAATGATTGAAAGGAGTGTGTGATGACAACTTCTTAAAACCAGTATCACTTAAAGACAATAATAAGGCATAAATAAGCCAAGAAGTGATAATACTTGATAAGAAGGCAAATACTCGTAATAAAAAAGACATTAAAGTTCAATACAAAGTAGGTATTTTATGAACTGTTTTTACTAACCTCCCACCCAAACAACTAAAAAATGTTGATTTGTTATTAAGAAACAAAATAAAGGATATCGCTGGTTTAAACACATAATTATCTACCCTACACGCTTCCAAGTACAAACAGCCAAGAACACAAAAGGAATATTCCTTTAGAGGTTTGTCACCATTGAAATACATTTGAATACAGGAACTTGAAATTTTAGTTGCATTTAAACACTCACTAAACATTACTGTAGATTTGAAAGTAGAGAGGAGGTAAATATTTGCTTATAGCTGTGACTGACATGTCTAAAAACTTATCTGAATTCCAAAATTAGTTTTTCTTTCATTTAAAACCTACAGTCCCACTAATTGACATTCTCAAGTGCAATCATAAAAGTACTTATAGAGAAGTGCTGAAGACAAAGAGACCTGAATAGGAGAAACAGTTGGGTCTGATACTTCTTTATGACTTAAACCAACTTACAGTCTTATTTGCTTGTGACAAAACACTACCCAGGACAACACATTCTTACTAGAAATGCTGTCGGAATGTTAACTGCACAGACGGTGGATGCTGTCTCCTTTGACACCTGAACTTACATAATTACTGAGACTACTGGGGCAAAACACTGGCTGCCCAGTCACGGACATGTGCAAAATACTTGCCATGCTCATGTGGTCATGAACACAGGCACAACCATGGCTCATGTTTAAAAAAAAAAAGTAATACTTAGGAGTACTTTTCTCCATGTAATTTCTGGTAATTTTGCTTCTGGCATCCAAAGTAGCATATTTTAAAACAGAAGAAATTTTTCTCTACTAGCATTTTTGCACATGAAAGTATCAGGCCTACAGGACATTTTTCTTGCCTGAACAAGAAACCTGCATGTTTTAATTTTATGTTAATTTTCAGAATATGACAGACATTCTTTAAGAACACTCAAAAATCATCCCCCTCTTTTACTGCAATGCATTCAATTATGCAAGTAGACAAACAAAGGATCCCTTTAAAGATTAGGGACTACAGTCAGCTAGTCAATGAGTTCTAACACTGGGTGGTAACTCATGGCAACAGGGGAGACAGAAGACAGCAGGCTAGATACAAATAGCAGTTCATCTTGCTATTCGGGATCAGAAGAAACAGAACTGCAGAGGCAGGAGAAAAACAAAACAAAAGCCCTCACCACAACAGTCATGAACTTGCCTGAAAGTACAACAAGACTACTGGAATGAGAGGTTTATATTATAATGCTTATGTTGCCTCCACAACCATTGTGCTCTTTTTTTACTTCATGCCTTAAATTTTTGTTTAAGTGCCACTTCAGTTCAGCTACTTTATTTCAGTTTTGGAGCTCTGAGTCTTCTTTTCCTATGAATCATTTAAAAAAAGAGGGGGGGAAAAAGGTAAATATTGTCCTTACCGACTGCACAATCAACCGGGCATCCTCCTCACTGCAACAAAATGGGCTGCCACTCACCAGAACATTAGTGCTGAAAAGTAAAATAAAAAACATGTTTTATCAATCAGTGGAGAAGCAAAACACAATTAAGTACCCACGGGAAAAAAACATCATCACATACCTGCAGTAACTAACAAGAAGGAAAAAACAGGTGAAAATTCTGCTTCCACAGAAAGTAGCCAATACCTGTACTGCTTACAGAGAGCAAACAAACTCTGGGATCAAATATTTTGCAGAAACATTTCCCTACAAATACTTTTCCTTTCACACCAAAAGTGAATTTAGTCACGAGATTTTAAAGTCCCACATAGTAAATGGCAAGAAGTTCAATTCCCCAAATCAAGACTGCAGTTTTAATTATTTTTTTATCTCATCAACGTGAAGCTCAAAGTCCCTCGAGCCTAAAATCTGAGTATTACCCTACAATATTCTTGCCATGCTGAAGTAGGACTATTACCCTGTTCAACTGCTGAGGTGTTCAATCAGCTTCAGGACAGAAAGTGAAAGTCGCATTTTCCCCACTACCTGAACACAGCTTCCCCTCAGAGCCTTTGCCCTCTGATTTAGCAATCTACAGCCCTTGGAAAGCACTGGGAAAAGATACCCGCCTGCTCTTCAGGGCCTTTAGTGCTACAACTGCCAACAAAAACCAGTCCAGAGATTTTAATAAAGTCCATTTTTATTTAGATCTGGCCAAAGGCTAGTAAAGAACAATAATGTAGTTCTCTTATTCCAGGGGACAACTAAAAATTATGGAATACTAAGCTTCAAAAGAATTCTGCATCAGAGCAATGCAGCACCCAAAGATGGAATAAACGGTGACAAAAAGACATTGCATGCGATACTGAGATTCTCCCAAAATTATCCTGAACATTCTTGGCCCTTTCTCAAAAGTTGAAGTAATCTAGGTCACTTTTATAAAATAAATATAATTTTGGAACTATTTGCCAGTAAATCATCAGCATACAAGGTGCAATTAGCCAATCAGAGACCCATAGAGTTGTCAGGGTTGAAAGAGACCACTGAAAATCATTTAGTCATATTCTATTATCAATTAATTATCAATCAAAACCATGTAATCGCAAAAATTCTAAGCAGCTCAAACACAGCTGCCACATATTGAATATCACCAGTAGTAGCACAATACAAAGAGGAAAAAAAAGTGACTGGATACTTACCACTTGATAGCACCTCCATCAGCTTTTTTATGAAGCAAAGCTTTCCAGTATTCATGGGTAGATTTAATAATTTCAACAGCAAAATCCTAGTTTACATCAAGGAAAAATTTTATTATTTAAAATGTTATTAAACAGGAAAAAAGTCACAGAACTAGTTTATTAAAACATACTGTTTCATGTGTCATTTTAAAGGGCCTCCTTTGAGGTCTCATTACATTTCTGGAAAATATTACATCCCTTTTTTATGGAAAGAAACAAACTTTGCTATCTGTCAAATACACTGGCAAAACATTCAGAACTCACTCTCAGACCACAGCTAGAAAACACAAAGGCTACATGAAAAAAAATTAAATTAGTCCTACATGCAGACACCTACAGCTATAGAAAACTGTACCAGATCCTAAATGGGACAGAGTGTGTGAGCTACTATGCCTCTGTTACATGTGTACATCAGGGTCAGAGTTAAGGTTTCCCCTCTAGTGCCAAAATCTGCATTTACTTCATTAATTGCCCAATCATATACTTAAGCATTTGCAACAACGTAAAATGTCAGCTGCTTTGCAGTTATTTTTTTTGCTTAAAACAAAAGCAGTATTGGAGGCAGAGAGGGAATGAAACAGCTTAAAAAAAAATAATAAAATAAACCCACAGCATCCAGATGATACGGCTTCCAAAAAGCTGCCAACAGAACATTCAGATTTCCTAACAAAGAGTGACTTGGCAGAATGCCACTGGAACATAGTGAACTTCACCAGAGGTGCTGGAGCACAGCCACAGCTGCTTCGTCATATCCTGGGTCTCTAGAAATGCTTGAGAATTATTCAAGTGCGCCAAACCAGCTATCTTGGGACATTTAATACCTCAAGCCTGAACTCCAATGGACTGGTGGGGATACATTCTGCTAAACTAGCACTACAGGGCAACAACAGTGTTTTGCAGAGCAAGAAAATCCCTAAGAGCAGTTTCTGGGAGAACAGGGGAGATAACAGGTTATCAAGCCTTGTAACTCTACATTTCCTTGATTTAAAAGACAGTTTCATCGCAGAGAGGAAACAGGGCATCTATTTAACCAGAAAAAAACATGTCAAGTCAGTGCTGGTCAGAAGGCATTTTACAACATGGATAGCACACTGCAAGGCTGAACTAGCTGACACATGGACATTGTTCATTAGGAACCTGTGATTCTTTGCCAAAAATAGTCTACACACAATTTGCAGAATACTTATACTCAAATCAAAGCCAATTTCCTCTGGAAAAATCAAGGTATTTTCTTCAAAAAGGTCTGTTCCCAGGTCTGCTCTCCTTTCAAACACTGGCCATTTTTACTTTAGATAGTTTAAAACTCCATTATTTTTTTCTAAAAAGGGGAAAATATTTTTCAGCCTTTAACCCAAAAACAGCTCATTTTTTTTTACATAGAATTACCAGGAAAAAGTGTATTTTGAGCAAATACCAAATACGAAAAAATCTGCAACCTACTATCTGCCTTAAACTGCACAGTCTTCAAAAAAAATTAAGGAAGATGTATTAATCAGAACTGAAAAAATACCTGAAAAACAATCTGTTATTTTCTTGGACAAGGAGAATGAAAACACTGTGAGAATAACCCACAAACATAAATATGTGTGTGTAAATCTCGCCAGGATTAGGATTCAATGTTTTTTTTCAGACTTCCTTTAATAACCTATGCATTTTCCCCGAATATATGAAGACAGCAAACACTATTCCTAGCACAACAAACTGTATTCAAATATCCCTTGTACAAAAATTATTTTTGTTAAACGTCCTCCTTTGTAATTCCAAAAATCATGTATTTAAGAGGCCACATGACAGAAAGATGTACTTCTAATTTTGGATTATCTTCACCTTGTCTTTAAATTGTCCATTAAAAGCAAACTGATTCTCTGGTTTGCCATCAGGGACTTTATATAATCGGAACCAGTCAACTGTAGCTTCAAGGTAACCTGGTTTGTGCTTCTTGACATCATCAATATCTGTACGTTAAAAAGAAAAAAAAAAGAACTGGTGATTTTTACTCACAATTTTTGTAACATTCATTTTTTATAAAGTCTCATAAAGGATCTGCAAGAAATTTGATTTCACTGAGCATTTTCGAAGTCATTGGGGAACTTCACTTTATTACATTAGCTACCCACAGTTGATATCTTACGATTTCACAACCACACTAAACAGGTAAACCAGTTGCCTCCTGCCCTTTGTTAATTAAGACCCAAAGGGACAATGAATTAAAGGACCGTACTTATGACAGGAGAAGAAGAAAAAAATCTGTATTTATAGGCTTTCATCTCAGTACATATCTCTTGCAAAATTCAGATTATCCAATAAGGTGGGTTTTTTTTCCCCAGCAACTGCAGGGACTACAGGCATTTTTTGATAATGAAAGAATAGCAAGTAAAAAAAAATTTAAACCCATGGATTTTCAAACCGGCACCTCAAAATAAAATACAGGTTTGACTTCTCAAAAGTTATATTAAAAGCATCCCTTTGCTCATATTACTTCCAGATTCAACCCATCAGGTAAAAGACCTATGTGCCAGGCACACTAAACAATAACTCTACTGATAACCCGGTGATATTTGTATACTCACGATAAACCAATTCTACCTTTACCTCTATAATCCTACCATGAAAAGACAGAACAACACACAAAGAGGAACACATGTCATTTGCAGGATACCCTTGGGAGGCAGAGATGAACGTTACCCCAGTGGGTACAGAGAGATTAAACAGTCACACAGTAATTCTGCTTGAGGGCTCTATTGCTATAAAAAAGATGCAGTTTGTGATCTTAAACGTTTGCTTCTGCTGTGCATATCAAATTTTACTGGGTAGTCCTGGGAGACTACCATCAACCCTGTCACTTGCAATGAGGTGGCCCTACTGGCCCCTTGGCACATTAGCTCTCTGGCAATACGTTCACATGGAAAAGTCTTCAATACAATTTTAATTACTTTTGATACAATAAAGGATTTTGTCCTTTCTGGAAGCCAAGTAGTTTTTGTATCTGGTGTAACTACTCTCTTTGCATCTATTTCCCTCCTACAGTCACTTCTGACAGAAAGGGGAGCTTTTTGTTGCTGTGCTTTACATGTAGTCTTCCAGCTTAATCTTACTCTGCTCAGGCCACCTTCCACAATGTTATTCTCCTCCTCTGGTGTTTTGCAACTTGCTCATTTCTCCCTTCCTGACTCCCTGGCACGTCAGCCTGTCTCTTGCCCTCACTCCATACTCCTTGGCTACTTCATTCTCTTCTCCCATAGACACACCTCACTCACTGATATCTCCTAGTTGTCAGTGATTCCTGATGCATACTCAACTGTCTATCCACTTCCTATAAAACGTATTTTCAAAGTTGCTCAGAGCACAGAATTGACACCTAGTCATACGCTTTCCATCTTTAAATCATGTCTTTTTAAAATCTAGTCTGTGAAACTGAACAAAAACACTCAAATATTTCTAAAGAGGACAGTAAGAGAAGGGGAAAAGTCTTGTACTACAGACCATTTGATTCTCTGTGGATCACTGTGAGATCACATGGACTGAACTGTGAAACAAAGCCTATGCAAGAAGATATGCTAAGTGTTCAGAGGCATCTGACAGATGCCACTCCCAAATTCCATTGGATCACACACTACTCAAAGAGTAAAATATAAAACTTTAAAGAACTCTATGTAAAGTTTTGCTTCTGTACACACTTAATCAGGGTACGTGTCTATGGACTCAGTAAAATATGTTTTGAAATTGGCTGCTGGCCATCTTCCTGCTGGTTAGGGAGTTTCACTGGCAGAATCCCAGAAAAAAGGAAGGGCACATAAGGCTGTGCTAGAGGCAGGTCTTCCACCTGGAACACATGTTCAAGAGTACAAGAAGCCTTTCACTGGGGTGAGTGAGTGAGACCAACAAAGAAGGAATGATTTTTAAAAGGGTGGAATCTTGGTTGAAGGCAGGATGCTTCATTTGGGCACTAATAAAACTGCAGTTTCAATTCAAATCAGTTTCAAAGCTCCAGTGTATCATCCTGTTTCCTCCAAGCAATGAACACCCCACTTGCCATCTTGAGCCCTTGTCATCTCCTCCTCTTGTGAGGTTTGCACTGATAATTTTGAGTGCTTGTTGAAGAGACATCATATCCTCAAGTCTGTAAAGCAAACCAAGCAGCAGCAGCAATTTCCTTGGCTCCCAGCAGTGGATGAACTCCAGGTCTCCACCTCCAGATACTACTTAAATTCAGACCTACTTTCTCAGACTGCTATGC